TACTGTTTTTGTTGTATAACTTCTAGTGGAACATTTTCGCCGGGACAGAGCATTTGCCATATCTGCCCTGCCTCCGCAGCAAAGCACATGTCTAATTTATTATTTAAAATTATGTTACATAAGTCACTGACACCATACACGGAAGATTTCTCACACCAATACCACCAAGTTACATACCTCCAGGCTGTTTGTTGTATTTAAAGTTAAATTTAGAATTTTTTCTATAGCTACTTTAAGATTATTATCAATATCTTGTAAAATATCCGAACGTTTCCCGACTTTACTCGAACGGATTAAGTGTGTAAATCTTGGTACAAGAAGACAATATTTTAAAATAGTAAGAACAATGTGAGAGTGTAAGATATACAGTTTATTAACGTGGTTTAAAAACTGATCAAATTTTGTTTTTAAAACAGGTATCGAAAAACAACGGGGCACCTCGCAGGTATAGCGAATAAATATAGGGCAATTCTGTAATGACAGTAGTTAATGGATATATAGGATCGTTTTTAATCAATCAATTCAATCAAGGCAATATAATATCCCTGACTGAATTTTAAAATTGATTGTTGTTTCTTTATGATTCCAAGGATAATTAACTTCAGTAACCCTACACTTTTTAGAATAAAATCAAATTTAGTCATAGTTTCAAGTTTATTATTAAAATACCCACAGTAATAAAATATTAAATATGACCTGACCTAATAATATCGAAAAATCACCACTCTCATTCTAAATTGAGAGATGATTGATTTCTAAGAGGGTTTTAGGGCAAGGAAATGTCCGCCGCACTGCCCCAATACGTGTTAGCGAACTTCACGTTTTCGAAATATTTTATCTTTTTTTCTTATTTTTCAGACATGCAGGTTTCCTCACGATGTTTGCCTTCACCGTCGAGCACGTGATTAGCACTTAAAATTGCAATTGACAATTTCATTGGTGCCGCCGGGGATCAACCGCTGGTTGCGCGCGTACTATGAAATTTACAGAGTGCTAACCATCTGAGCTACCACGGCTCATGTTATGATAGAATTGTATGTATTCATGTTAGAATAAAAGGTAATTATTCCTGTAAAAAGCTTAAAGGTTAGGACTGGAATTAAAAACCCGACTGAGTACAAAATTTTAATGAAAAAAGAAAACTTTTATACCCTCTTTCACATTCACAACTAAGATGTATCCAACGACACCCTTTATATTAAAATCCATCAAGCCGTTAAGGCTACAGGCTGTGCCAGGAAAGCATACATACATACAGAAATACTCTCGAAATACATTATCCTCTTTATGAGGCCGGCGGGTATAAATAATTTTACACGGCAGAGCGCAGAGCTCGTAAACCGCAATATAAAAAGTTAACCGCAAAGCGCTTCCGCAAACGGCCAAATGACCGACAATATTGTAAATGTCAGCGACGTCTCCGGAAGGAAGAGCAATCATGAATTTTCAAATTCGTAATTTTATGGTGTTACCGTTTTTTTTTTGCTAGCGATATTTTTTACCAAGTACTTGATTTTAACCGTGTCGACAGAGAGAAACTGAAACGTGTGATGGAAAACAGCATCCTCGAGATAACAGCTAAAAATAATTTAAAAAAAACTGCAGTTGAAATCCCGCCTGTCTAACGTAGCAACTACGGGGAAGTCCCGCCTATATAGCAATCTATGAGGAAAGGTCTATGTTCAGCTGTGAAATTTTGTAGGTTGTAATAAATAGATAGGTTAGATATACTTGATTTCTGTACCACCTGATGGCAAGTGGTTATATAGCCGACGTTGGAAAAACATGTATATAAATATTTATATATGTATGTATATGTTTATTCTTCTTTACCTCTTTTTTTTTCTCTATCACACTAATTTGCCCTGTCCTTGTCATATTCGTGCAATCCTGTCCATTCATAGGTTGTCTGGAAGAAATTACTGTCAGCAATAAGACCGCCCATTGCATACTTATTTTATAAGTATAATTTCTGTAATTTATGTACGGTGTGCAATAAAGAATATTAAATAAATAAATAAACATACTGGCTTAGCTTCACAAACAACTATCTACTCTTAATGTGCCTAATCTATTGGAATTATGAAGAACTAAATAAGTGGCTTTTGATAAAGCAATTGTGACTTCGATTTTTATCACTAAGCATATGAAAAAGTCGCAATTTCCATCATCTTCACTCACCACGTGAGAAGCAGTCATCTCATTACCTGGATAATATAATTACGTATAAATTAGTGCGACCTGCCAACTTCGGTTCCATCATCACTTATCATCAAGTTAGGCAGTAGTCTATCACAGGTTATAATAGTTATAAAAACTACCTTCAAAATAACGATTTTTCAAAAATATTTAGAGGTAGATTTCATGACAAGAGAATGCTTAGCAGTATGAAATTCCTAATCTATTATTTTAATAAATCATCCCAAATATTGCATTTAAAATATAAAATTCAATAAATAAACGGCAACTGTAAAACTATTTCTCAGTTATGCGTACTAAATACTATAATCAAATTAAGAAATCATTGGTAAGTTGGAAATCTGTTGCAGTTTGGGGACCACAAAAAAAAATTTAAACATAAACCAAGTCTGAATTTTATTTACATATTTAAATAGCTATTATCTAGCGAATTCATTAAAATAAATGATAATACAATCATCATCATCATTACAGCCACTTATATGTCCACTGCTGAACATAGCCCTGTATCCATCGACTTTCAACATATCTTACCAGGTCAGATTGTGCAATAAATACTTATGATTTTTTTTCCAACATACATTATAGTTTCCTTACGTTGTTTGAACATTTTGTAATTTCAAAAGGCAGGAAAGGCAATGCCTTTGCCACTTTTGCTCGTAAACTTAATTTGAGGGTTTTGTTGAAACCGTTACGGCGACCTTTTATTAATTTGAAGGAAACGGAAGTACTTTGCGCGTTGATTGATGTCTCTGTTGAGATAGCGGTTCCTATACAGTTATGTCAGTGCAAAGGCCATACGCAAGATTTTTTATACAGGAAGAAATAACACTCAATGTATTTCTATAATCTTCTATTGTATTTGTTGCGTATTGCATAAAGACTACCCTAAATAATTCCTGTACAAAAATCACATTAAAAGTTATAAAGCAAAATACCGGCTGTTTTGTTTTACTTTAATTACTCATATTCTTTTTTTATAGTATAGAGTGACAAACGAGAACACAGTCCACCTGATGGTAAGTGGTTGCTGTGGCCCATAGACATCTACATCTATCCTCGATTACGAATCAAAATGCAGATGCGTTGCCACCCGTGAGGACTAAGATGGAATGCCTCGTTTCCAGTAAAAAGGGTCTCCGGTTCTCTACACTCACCATACGAAACACAGCAGCGTTACGCTGCTATTTTACGCTGGTATTCTGTGTGTGTTCGCAATTTGCCAAGTGAATAGTTCTTAGTCTTTATAAATAAAATCAATTGCTGCATGTATGAAAGATCATAACTTGAGGACGGCTACATCAATTTTGATAAGATTTTATTGTTTTATTTAATTGGGTCCCTGCATAGTTTAAATTCACAATTGAACCCGGTAGGTTACGCTGTTGACGTGATTCAGAACTCACCCATGCGAAGCCGGGGCGAATCGCTAGTTTGTAATAAAAATGATTTTCATATGCACTTTATATATAATAAAACGGGTCGTAAACGGGAACGCTATAATTTAGGGATAAAATATCGCCGTTCCGTCACACTTTCTACATAAGCCATATTTTCAACAACCAATACATGAACTCAGATCTTTCGTTATCTATGTCTTCATTCATTATTACTACTAATCGATCAAAACGACATCTGGACATGCCTCACTTCCTTAGATGCTTTATATTTACTTAATAGATGATAAATGATAATCTTCAACATATAATAAGTAAAAATAAATTGGATAAAATAATATAAGAGTTTACATAATAAAAACACACACTGATTAAAAGCTGGGATGATCATAGTTATGAAATTATTGTATTATCATCAGTTCCTGATACGTCTGCAAAAGTTCAGATTATTACGATGTGTGGAAATTTGTGAAAACTAATTAAAATTTTATTACATTCATATATACATATCAAGTTAATAATAAAGTGGTCGTAATTAAAAAAAGTACTAATTAAATAAAACTAATTTTTCGAATTTTATCGCCTTTTATTTATCTTATATTTTTTATTCCGGATGTTCCGGTCAGGACGTTAAATCCTTCAGTACCCTTAGTGAGGGATTTAACGTCCTGATGGCGTAGTTAAACTGGACTACCTTCAGGCTTTGGATATTCATTTTTGGTCTGATCTACGCAGAACGAACTTACTGTAACTTGAAGTCTTGTAGCAGTATGCTTGGTTTCAGATTTAATTGTATTATTTATAGGATCCCAAGCAGATAGTAGCACCCAGCCATCTTTTTATTAATTCATCTGTTGAAATTTGGTTGTTTTTAATTTCAATAACCTCGCGAATCATAATTTGTAGGAATCGGTGTTCTTTTTGCGACGACTTGTGACTTATCAAATCTAATGTAATGGCGAAGGCAATCTTGAATATGTTCAGAGACTGCAGACTTCCCGGAGTATTGATGTTTGACCATAGGTGCAGCAAAGCACCCGAAAGGCCAGGAACAAAAAAATAAGCCAGTGTAAATGAGATCAAATCCGTAAAATTAGTTAAAATAATAGTAAACATAAGCAAACATTTTACTAAAATTATAAAATATTTATAATCGTAAAATTCTTGTTCTTTAATAATCGTTTAAATTTAATACTGGATTCAGAACTTTTTAAGAATGTGCCAAAAGAAGCATTCCTTAAAAGTTTACCCATACTCAGATACGGTAGACAGACGAGTCGGTAAGCGCAAAAACGACACCCTATCCATTCCTCTCATCAGTGCGAGATTATGCTTGGTACTTTATCAGTCCTGGTAATTGATTTTGGCATATTGCAAACATGGTTATATCAAATAGAAAATTACCTTTAGCATGTAGCATCTTGAGATGATCCACTGTGAGCTGCAATATTTCTGCTTTCTCCAGCTTCGCGCTACCTTGCTTCTCGCAGGCCGCCGGCACTAGCCTCTTGAGCTCGGTAAGAGAGGTGTTGATGCGGTCGCGACGCTTCTTCTCGATCACTCCCCGCCGTCGTTTACGCGTCATAAGTTGACAGGAGTCGCCACCAGTTGACCTACGTACAAGAGTGTTTTAGCTTAATCAAATACTTTTTTATAGAAAAAGGGTGAAAAACGAGCACACAGTCCAGCTGATAGTAAGGGAATGCTGTGAACCATAAGCATCTACATTTACCCTCAATAATAAATCAAAATGCAGATGCGTTGTCACTCTTGAGGACTTAGATGGAATGCATCTATAACTTAATTTTATTATATTAACATGATTAATTCCAGCCGCAAAATTTCACGAACGCACATCACGTCAAAATTTACGATACCATCCTCACCATCTGGATGCTTGGTGCTCCACCACTGAACATTTTACCAGGAGTTTTCTTCCTCGTACAACCTCTCTGTGGAATTGTTTACCACCGGCAATTTTTCCGGACCGATACGACTTAGGGACCTTCAAGAAAAGAGCTTACACCTTTCTAAAAGGCCGGCAATGCACCTGCATTTCCTCTGGTGTTGTGGTTGTTCATTGGTGGCGCTAGTCACTTATCATCAGGCAAGGGTGAGTTCGCCCCCTCTTCTATAAAAAAATTCATCGTATCCAGTAAAAAGAGTCTCCGGTTCTCTACACTCATCGTACCAAACACAGCAGCATAAGGCTGTCAAGTAAAATTAGTCAAGGATGAACTCCTTTAACTAATTAAGTAAATTTTTCAGGATAGACAAAAAACTATGTCTTTAAAAAAATTTGTACAGTTTCTTAAAATATTGATTTCTCATTTAATAAACGCCTATTTAAGTCATTATTTTGTTAAATTAATGACTAATAGTATTACGCGGTAAAGTAGATATAGCTCATTTTTAGGCTGTGACTTATGCCTCTTTCAAAACTTATGTGGTTTAAGTAAACAAAATGAACAAGTTTTGATCATGAATTTAGTTTATTTATTACAACTTTGTTAAGTTTATTGATATAAAAATTACTTAAAACTATTATAACGATCATTTAGCATAGTCATCTATAGTTTCTGATGTTGTGCCAATTAGTTAAGTTTGTAGGGAATGTGCCTCATGACTTAATGTCCTCAATTTTTCAATATTTATGGGCACTTTATCCCTGTAAGCTTTATCTGTTGGCAGTGATACATTTTATTGCCCAAAGGCTAGTTTGTAATCATATCTAACCAATCCATCGGTGCATTCACTTGACACAAGACATAAAGTCCAGGACTAGTGACTTTTCAAAATAAATTAAAATTGATATAGCATGTATCTCGACATCGAAACAGCGGACTAGTGCCATTTTTAGTGCAAAAGTGTAGGTACCATGGAAAAACACTTCCTCATACTTAACTCACTTTTGGCAAAAGGTATGACATATGCGTTTTTCATAATAACCGATACAAATAGTAAAAAAAAAGTTGCTTAAAAATATCGGACACGTCAGTTACATTTTCACAACTATTTAACGTACCTTAATTAATTAAAACAAGAACAGAGTATAACTTAAACGAAGTTTGATTAAAATATCAAATTAAGAGAATTAAATTAAAACCATCACCATAAAATGAAATTATAATAAATAATATATAATTATTTTATTTTAATTTTTTTACAAAACCTACTTTGCCTTTTAATATTTCCTTTTACATAACCAGTCCGAAATAAATATCTATATATCTCGTATGTAGGTACTCGTATGATGGCCTTTTTGAAAAGTTTGTTATAGTTTTTGTATAATTATGTCTTAATATATATTAATTCATATATTTGATATAATATTTATTTTGTTAAATACTGCTAACGAGGTATTCTATCTTAGTCCTCAGGGGATGACAACGCATATGCATTTTGATTCTTAATCGATGACTGATGTGGATGTCTATGAGGCATAGCATCCACTTACTATCAGGCAAACTGTGTACTCGTTTTTCGCCCTTATTCTTTAAATAATAAATATATGATATTCAGACACTTTTTTTTATTAGTTATTGATATAAAATTTATTGTGTGTGTCACCGTAATTATAAAATAGCGGTGCCTGTAGTGTCTTCGTTCGTGAAAATTATATCGTTGCTTATGCATCTGATATTTCTTTATATTATTGCGCAACTGTATAATTTATAATGTATATAACCATCGATGTCTTAATTAAATACTAAGCAAACTGAAACACGCGATGGAGAGTGAATTTATTTTGAAAAATAAAAAAGTTTAAAACCTTTGTTATTACTTAATTATGCATATCTTGTTATCAACTAAAAATGTCTTAAAAATAATAAATAATTTAGCATCATATTACTCATTTATATATACTCAGTTTATATACAAATAAAATTAGTCAAGGATGAACTCCTTTAACTAATTTTCTTAGAAGGACACTACTCATCACATTTTTTAACCGAGTTGAAAAACGAGATCCAATATTCGTTGTATGTTTTCTTTTCTTATGTGTTCACTGATTTCTCGGAAACTGTGTAACCGCTTTAAATAAATTCTATTTTATTAAATAGGTTATACTAACTTGAAGAAAAAATTCCAACCCTAAGGGTGAAAAAAATTATCAATCAAGTTTATAATGAAACTATTTAGACGACATTCTGGTTACCTTGAACTTGTAATATCGTTTTACTCCACTTATAAGGTTTATAAATTATATAAAAGCTTACTTTCAAGTGATTTTACTTTTCAAATTAACGTAGTCGTGCTCGTAGAGGCTGCTACGCCTAGAGCTACGCCGTAGCTACAGCAATCTTTTTACGCATAATACAGTACGCTGTACCACAGCGTTTAATATTTTCTTATGAGTATCTTATTAGAGATTATTAATATTAGAGTTTAAATATTAGTTATTTATTTATTTATTATTTATTAACTATTTATTTAATTTATTTTTAAAATGAAAGATATAATTTTTTTATAGGATAAGAGTGACAAACGAGCACACAGTCCACCTGATGGTAAGTGGTTACTGTGGCCCCTAGATATCTACATCTATCTTCGATATCTTCGAATCAAAATGCAGATGCGTTGTCACCCGTCAGGACTAAGATGGAATGCCTCGTTTCCAGTAAAAAGGGTCTCCGGTTCTCTACACTCACCATACGAAACACAGCAGCGTTAAGCTGCTATTTCACGTTGGTATTCTGTGAGAGCGTGGTCCTTCCCCGGTCGAGCTGACCAATTCGTGCTACAACTATGCTACTAATAGCTGCAGCATGGCTCTACCACGTATAAATAATTAAATAATTATACTAACACCATCGTATTAAGCTTACAAGATGTAGTTAAATGGAATACTAACTAGAAGAGTTTATAGCATTGATAATATTTTTTAAAGAAAAATATATAAATAATTACAAAAATAAACAAATTACTAAGGTGGAATACTCACTGTGCATCCTTGCTGCTCTCTTCGGAGAACGCATCATCTTCACTATCAGAGTGAGGACGTTTGTTTCGCGGCGCGGGCGCTGCTGGTGCCCAGCCGTAACCCCATTGAGGTTGGGGAGCTGGTGGCTGAGGGTTCCCCTGCTCCATTGAACGGGTATGGTGATACTCCATTGTCTTATTATTAAGTAAAAACTGACGTTATCTGTATATTCTTAACATTAAAACATTTTTCACAAAGAAGTTAGTACACAATCTGTACCACTTTAAGCACAAGTCAAGACTCTACATTAGGTAGAGTTCTACGTTATTCACAGGTAGAGGTTTATATTATTCAGAAGTAGAGTTTTTCGTTATTCACAGATAACTATTTAAAGAGGTCACATGTGCACCATTGTTTTCAATCACTGTCGATCAAGTATCTCGTCAAGTTGTAATTATCGCAAAGAGTCGCGCGTGCGTCACTGCTGTAGGCGACACCTGCGCACGCGTGGACCGCCGGTCGCGGAGTGAGCGCATGCCGGCCGCGTGGAGACCGTGCGCCGAGGCCGCCGCCCTATGGGAACTCCGCTTTATCTTTAAACCAATACACTAATGCTACTTATTCGACCAAATTTCAACCTTATTCACCTACATAAGGTTCCATTTAAATATCTCAATAATTTTGCAAACACTTCCGTACCAATTTTCACGCATTAATCCCTATTCCAAAACTAAACTCTATTCGGCTATGTATAGAAGCTCAAAAGCTGAACATAAAAGCTGTATAGCTTACTTTCTTCTTATATGAATTTTTTTTGTGAGTATGCATTACATTTTGAATTTTATGCCACGGTAATAGTAGCGATATTTGTGCGTTTATGTTTTTATTAGCGAATATAAGAGCCGCGTGGCGGGCGCACGGTGGGAAACGGACCGGCAATTAGGAAATGCAATTTCATTCGGCTAACAATTGGTGTGAAACTTTCGTATATGAGGGGGAGGCCTGAGGATTATTGGACGCGTGCGACGTTTTTAAGTTGGTATTATTGTTACATAATATTTTTCTATCTGCGAACTTCTTAATTAAGTATATAAAATTTATATCTACGAGTATTTAAGCGTGTCATGATCACCGCATTTCGTCTCATGGATATCGTAAAAAGTATCTATGGAAAATGCCAGAATAGTCTTATGGCGTCTGATAGATAGATAGAGAAACCCTTTTTACTGGAAGTGAGGCATTCCATCTTAGTCCTCAGAGGCGACAACGCATCTGCAGTTTAATTGCTAATCGAGGATAGATCTAGATATCCATGGGCCACAGCATCCATTTACTATAAAATAGACTGTGTGCTCGTTTGTCTCCCTTATTCTATAAAAAAAACATGTATGTCCCTAATTGAAATAACTAAAAATCTGTGCTTGTTTTACGATGTTCCATTTCTATCTTTGAGCAACAGCCTACAGTTCACAAGACTCTACTCTGAAAGTTTCTCAAATAGAAAACGACACGGCGAAGCGACGGAAATCTAATTCAACTCACGTTCGCTTTATTAGATTTTCTGTAAAATACAGGAATCATTTCTACTTATTTATTTTGAAAACTTTAAAAATTTCATATTCAATCCCATATCGTCCTGTCGGTGTCGTAAGAGGCGACAGGAAGAAAATGAAACAGGAGATGGGCAGCAGCATCTTTCTGATAATTCAACATAAAAGAAAATTCGGTTGCCAATCCACCTGACAAGCGTGAGAACTATGGCAAGTCTCCTTATGAGGTAATCTATGGGTGAAGCCTTTGTTCTGCAATGGAATTTTAAAGGCTGTAATGGACAGATAATTTCAGTTTCATGGCGCCCTGGATCTATGTTACCAATTGAAAGGGACAGTGCATCTAGCGCACTCCCGATATAGATCCCTCATCTGAAAGGATCCAATCAGATTGGGATTAGTCTTTTATAGACTTTCTACTCAGCTCTTTATAACAACACGTTGGATTCGGGCGGTCAACGAGGTGGATGTAAACCCTGTGAAGGAGTATCACAAGAGAGCGTCTGATGCTCCTTTCTCAAAAGAAAAGGTCAGACGACTAAGATTACGGGTCCTCTTAAAGTGGTACCGGCCTTGACGTCTTATTATCTAGTGGAATGTATACTGTAGGTGGTGGAAGATCCTTTAGGAATGAAACAGCAATTACCTTCAAAATTTCCCCATAATCATTACAACCAAAACAAATTATTTTTTAATTTATTAATAGTCCAGTGCTGATTAAAGTGCTCCCCCATAGATTGTTACACTTCGCAGGTGGGTTGACAGTTATTGTTATAATTGTATTATTTTTGTTTATGAGAAAGATACTACTGCCCATCTCCTATTTCATACTTTGTCACCTCCTATGACACCCACGAGATGATATAAATTTCATTACCTGTAGGCAATTTGAAGCCCCGTTTTGATTGCTATTGATAAAGTTAAGTACCGGTTTCAATGTATTTAATGTTTATGTTTCGGAAAGTACATAAAATTATTTAGTGTTGGCAATAACTACTTGTTACTCTTTTTTTTAATTAAAAATTTCATATCTCTTGATCCCAGTTGTCCAAAACAAACAATTTTATTTTATATTTTCTAATAACTCGAATTCTGGGTTTCGGGATCAATTTTTGTCTTCACCCCTTTGTTTCGATGTTCCATGCATTAGAACCAAACGGTTTGCTTCGTCTTTTGTAATGCGTACAGCAAAGGAGTGGAATAACTTGCCGGCGCGCTATCTTTCCGTCCGAATACAACCTGGGTGTCTTCAAGGCAAAAGGGAATAGGCTTTTGTTACGCTAAGACAGTGCAATTTATCATCTAAGGCTGCATCACAACTTACCACCAGGTGGAACTGTGGTCAAGCACTGGCTTATAATAAGTTAAAAAAAGTATTAATGTTTAACATAACTTTAGATCGAATGATAACAAAAAAAATATTACAGCGCAGGTTTCACTGGAGAAGATTTATGAGAAACGACTAGTCGTGAGTAAAACCGCCGAAACCCTTACCTACTGCAAGCTTAAAACTCGTCCGTGGCTCAGAGCTTTGAGATGGGTATTGTGGAGACATTGTAAATTACATCACCTATCTCGATTCTGGGCAAACATAAATCTCAGACACATCTCTGGACTTCCAACGTCGAATGAAATCACAATAACGAAAATAGTCAAGCCCTTAATATTTGGTGTATTATCATTATTTACTCATGCCCATGTGAACTTGTAGTTCACAGCAACATAGGCCTCCATAGGTCGCCTCATATATTTGCCAAAGTCGCTTTGCTTGGCAAGCTAGTTTGCATCCGTAGTTTTTTTTATTATTTTTGACTTGTACCAGGAAGATGCTGTTGCCCAACTTCTCTTTCAGTTTCCCTCTGTCATCTCTTACGACACCCACGGGATGACTTGGAGTAATGGGTTATCTTACGCCGCCACTACATGGCAATACTCAGATATTAGATGTATAAAATAAATTTTTCTAATTTTAATTATTCCCTTATGATTTCGAAGAATAGTATTTTTTGTTATATGGCTAAATAGAACGACTGTAATTAATGGTTGATATTAGTTCTAATAAACATATGGTCTGATAGACAACTTAATAGATGCTGTGAGCGGAATGTAATTTTCTACTCATAATATATCTCCTGTATGTAACATCAAATTATATTAGCGCATGTAATAAAGATATATTAGTGAGTAAATGTTAAATGGTAAGTATGAGTCTCTGAGAGATAATAAAATTAATAATGCAAAAAAATATACCATGTATTTTTCCTTATTCATAAATTTTCATTTAATCCTGAGCTATGTCGAAAATTTCAAGTCCCCATCGAAAAGTTAATTAAACCAGTTATTAAATTCGCTCAGAACAGACACGTGGTAGAGCTATGCTACAACTATATTATGATTATAGCACGAATGAGTCGGCTTGACCGGGGAAGGACAACGCTCTCACAGAATACCAGTGTATAATAGCAGGTCAATGTTGCTGTGTTTCCTATGGTGAGTATAGAGAACCGGAGACCCTTTTTACTGGAAGCGAGGCGTTCTACCTTAGTCCCCAGGGGTAGCAACGCATCCGCATTTTGATTTTTAATCGAGGATACATGTAGATATACGTGGGCCACAGCATGCATTTACTATCAGGCGGACTGTGTGCTCGTTTGTCAAATTTATTCTATAAAAAAATACAACAAAAACAAAAGCGAGTTAATAAACACGTGGTAATAAAAAACTGATGACATTCGCTATATGTATGTATTATCGGTCTGTGGGTTTCACGCGTTGTGAAATATTTAAAGGTGATATTAGTATTGATGATGAGGCCTCCCCCAAGGAATGCCACAAAGCACGGTCCTGAGACAAATGTATCCATCGACTTACTTACCAGCACCTAGTGGTGGGCCGCCTTACACTTCACCTACCGATACGAGGCTGTCACTCGAGAAACTTTCTTCCCCATCGCTTGTGGGAGGCCTATGTTCAGCAGTGGACTTGTGAAGGGCTGTAATAATGATGTTGATGATTTTAGTATTTGAGGTTCTAATGTCATGGTTAACGCGGCTAACCTCAACTATTAATTATTGACTAGTGGTCGCATAGTGGAAAAAATTCGACCGAATAATGATTATACTGTGTTCTTGTACTTACTCTGAGACATTGGCAGTGTGAATTACACTATGTCAATAAACGATATAATTTTTGTCAAAGCGACATTTATGTGCTTGATATTGATAGTATGAACGTAAATAATATATATTTAATTTTAGCTTTCTGCATTCCTTCTGCATATAAACTTTAACTATGCCAAATATCACACTCCTCCATACGCGCAATATGCTTAAAAATGGGTACAAAGTTCTCCTTTCACGTATTAATATATATCTAAGTTTTGGTCTGGTCTACGCTGAACGAGCTCACCGTAGCTTAAACTCTTGTTGTGTTATAGTGAGATTAGGGTTTAATTGGAGTAGCTTGGATTTCAAAAAGATCTTTGGATATCAAACTAGATTTTTAATACAATAAGGGTTACGAGGTTTTTATAGAATAAGTGTTTAAACGTGGTAGAGCCATGCTGCAGCTATATTAATAGTATATTTGTATCACGAATGGGTTGTCTCGACCGGGGAAGGACCACACACTCACCGAATACC